CTACATTCAAACAGGATTGTCCCCATCTTTTCATTAATAGTTACTAACATTAGATATTTTAACAAAAAATGTGCCTGNTTTTAATAGTTACTAACATTAGATATTTTAATGAGATTTGTTCGTAAAACAAAAAATGTGCCTGAATGACGAATTTAGCAGTTGGACATAAAAGTAAACTGAGAGTCACTTGCAATGACAGTGTTTTATTTATGAACCTTTTACGTTAAAAACAAGTTAGAATTTTCCAAAAGTCTTAGGTTTTTTTTGGGGGCGGGCCCTTTTTCCAGTTTAGAGCAATAGCCCTTCCAAATGTCTGTGCACGTCCCTGGTCAAAGGCCTTCTGGACATTCACAAGTTCTTAGTATTAATAGAGATAATGATAATAGGTCAAAAAGATGCAATCACCCAAATATCAAGGAGTCTTGGTTCTACCTTTGAAAACGTATAGTAACATAGACTCTACTCGTTTAAAAAAACAAAGTGTTACTTATTTTATGTTTCATTTTTATTCATTTTCTGCACGTTTGTCGATCATTTTAACTTTTCCTTTTTATATTTGTTAATTCAGAATTTTTTATTGGATTTGTCTTTGTGTGTGAAGTGCCTTTTCATGTTTGTACAGAAAAGCTGATTTATAAATAATCAAAGTATTATGAGCTGTCCCAGTCATTTGTCACCCCACACCATCATTTCAGCCCTCACTCAACAGGGAAACTAGAATAAACTGAGGATGAAATATCAGCCACATAAGCAAACATATGAGATGAAAGTATTGTCAGTGATCACATGTTACCGTTACCTGCAGATCCGGAGGAGAGGCGCGTCGCGATGGCGCGGCGAGGACTGCGCGGACTTCCCGGACAAACCCGCACCACCTCCTCCTGACACTGTACACAGATGACCTGGTTCTCTGTGTTTTCTCCGACCTTGCTGCAGCCCATATGTCCCCCCGCGGCCTGTATCTTCATACCTGCGCTGATCTGACGGACCAGTCGCATGTCTGCTCCTGTCTCATGCTCCAGCATCCTCCTCACCGGCGGCAGTCGCACTTATTACGCATGGCTTCTGCTTGTGAAGGCTACAACTTCTCCCGCATCTTTTATCTCCACCCACTGCAGTTCGAAATATAAGCGGTGTATGTATGTGTGTATGCTCATCTCCGCTCCGTGTCGTTTCTCGGCTCGTGTCGCGGTGATGTTGCAGTCTTTACGCACGGCTGCGGGCGTGGCTGACTGCTCCACGTGGTTGGTGAGGTCGCAGTGTCAATTCCTGTGGGAGTATGAGTGGTAACAAGATAAAGTAGTAATACATTAAGAATTTGAACTCAGTACCACTGTAAGTCCCAAAAGGACTATAACTGTAAAACTAATTGAATGAATACGACACAACGTAAATTCACTGGACAGGGACGTGCAGAGGATATAAGAGGGGGGCTCCAATTCATAAGCATTGTTATTTCAAACAATAAATAAAAATACTCCGGGAATAATTTACTTAAATATGTGACACTGTCAAATGTTTATTAAAATCATTTAAATTAAACAATAACCAAGGAGCATATTTCCAGTTAAACATAATTAGAAATCCTTTATTAGTCCAACAGCCGGAAATGTACACTGTTACAGCAAAAGTGGCATAGCAGGTAAAGTCATGCAATAATACAAAATGATTTAGCCATTAATATATAGATGAACAGCACACATTAGTTATACTAGAATTCAAATAAAGACACACAGTGACATACACCGGGCGATCAGCCATAACATTATGACAGGTGAAGTGAAGAACAGTGATTATCTTGTTAGAATGGCCCCTGTTGTATAATCAGAGGATGAATTGTATATAATTGTATGTATTTCCTCTGACATTGGGTCAATTTACTTAACGTGGGTACATCTGCTGATAATTGCGGAAGAGGCAATGGAGCCTCTCTGACCTGTGTTACCTTAATAAATAAGCCGGAAATATGCTGTAATAAAGATTCTGCCATAACACTTCCTCCTTTTATTAATTAAGGTCACACAATCAAAAAATACTAGATAACCTACTGAGTTCCAACCTGAAATGACCAAAATGACTTTCTGAAAAAGACTTACAGTATCGATGGGTAATTATTTTACTCAAGGCAGAAGTCACAGGGTTACCTGTACTACTCACAAATAGCCAAAAAACCAACCTTTTGATTAGAACACAAAACGTGGAAGAAAAGATTATTTGCGCTAATCTACTCTTACATAAAATTGAAAATCATTAAAAAGCTCAGTATGCTTAAGAGGAAAAAATCAATTTGTCCGATTCAAGTGTAACACATTTACATAAATAATGATAAATCTTCCAAAACACATATAGCAAGATGTAACTGTCGTCCACTCGTTCTGCTTCTGTTATATTGTCCAGTAAACACTTCTTCTGGGTGCACGTTCCGATCTCCATGCGTAGCCTTTGAATTGGACGGAACTGTAGTCAGAAAAAAAATCATCTCAGAAGTTTTGGGTTTTGTTCTTCGTGTTGACCCAAACCCATAAGACAATAGCAGTGGAAGAATAGCTGGAAGAAGTAACTGAAGGGAGTCATCCAGCTGCCTTCATTGACACTCCAGTCTGCCTCCAGAGCAGCTCCTTAAACCCCTCTGCCTCAGAATGATCCATCTTCCCTCATGTTTCCAAGGGAAAGACAGCTTTGACCTGGGTAGAAAATAGCACTTGCATTCTGGGTTAACAGCCTACAGTCGACCACTAGGCCTTAGAGTCTTATCTATAATTTGTAAACTTCTTGAAACCATGAAATGTTGCTTGTGTTGTGTTTTTAGTTACCCACAATTTCCTAAACACACAACAAGCATCTTCTGTAAAATTGTTCAGCCACGGTGCTGAAACCAATCAGATCTCAACTTCAAACAATACATCTAATCATACCTGTTTTAGCAGAACCCAATCGAGAGCTTGACCATGTAGGAAAAAAGTTGTTTAGGTGACAAGTTTCATTTGCTCTCTGGATCATGTGAGGGTTAAAAGATTCACGTTAAAATACAATTACATGTTGAACAAGAAAATTAATAAAAATATTTTGAAAAGAAAATACAATTACTAAATTGAACAATAAACCCATTATACCCCTCCTGGAAACATTCTCCTCCAAACCATAGAGACCATGTTTCCCAAATATGCCAAAGGTGCAAGTCGCTAGTCGGAAGCGAATGAGATCGCTCAACGGGCAATAATTTTGCGCCTATAATCTTACCTTGTTTGAAAGTTAGAAAGTCTTTACAGAGTATTATGTAAGACTAGCTACACTTATCGGTTGTATAAATTTATACGTCGATAATTTTTTATTTGGTATGTATTAATGAGGAAAGATAGTTTCTTTGGGACGATTAGATTTTTGTTTTGACGGCTGAACAACAGAGACAATAAACGAAGAAGTTTATGTAATCAGTTATTAAACATTTCAATACATAGATTGGGGAGATCCTATAGATTTAGAACAAGTAGAGTTAAGGACTGGGTGGCTGCTTAATGTTAATAAACCTAAGAAAATTGTCCTCTCTTTCACAAAAGGAAAATCCACGACACTTTTCGTCACCGACTGACCGATTTC